GCCCGGCGCGGGCAGGTGCTGGCGGCCCGAGCGCCGCCGGCCGCTCTCTGCGGGAAAAGGCGAATCAATCGGAGGCAGGGCCGGCTCGGCCCGCGGGGCCCGGCGGCGGGAGGCGGCGGCCGCGCTCCCCCGGCGGCCCCTCTGGCGCGCGCAGCCCGCTCCGCCCGCGCCGCCCGCCGCGCTGAGCTCCGGCAGCTGGCGCCCCGGCCCGCGCGCCCGTCCTCCGCCCCTGCTCCTCCCCGCCCCGGGAAGCACCGAGTGGGCTGCCGAGCCCTTTGTATTTATACTTCCTCCCGGCTTGACATAAGAGGTTTATTTTTGATCTCTCACTATTCCCGTTTCCCCCCCCTGGGATCAGAGAGAAACTGAAAAGAGGGAGCGAGGGGAGGAAAAAAATTTGGATGAAATGTAAAACCAATCAGGAGTCAGCGAGACCCGTCCGCCTTGCCCCTCCTTAAGTGTCAACTCCAACTTTTTTCCCTTCCCTTTAAGCGCGGACCCGCGTTAACCCCTCCAATGCCGGACCGACCCTTCGGGCAGAGTCCCTGGGGAGACTCCAGCCGCTCCCCCTCCGGGGCCGGGTGCCCAGGACGCATCCTCCCAAGAGGCTCCCGCACTGGTCTCGGCGACACCCTCAGGATCCCTGCGGAGTCTGGAGATCCGACCGTTTGGAGAGAAGTTTCCAAGGCTTTTAATTGTAAAGCACAGGATGGAGGTGGGAAAGGGCATGCTAGAATCACGCTCTCCACTGAAAACCTCTGCGTAGCCTTCCTAATTTTCACTCCAAGCTAAAGATCTGGGGAAAAAGGACAACAAAAAAAACACCTGGCTAATGCTACCAAGGGCTCTGGCACTGCTATGTTTGCGGGCTGGTAGCGCAGAGCCCAGCACAGTGGCAAATTACCGGCAGTGAGGTTGGAAAGTTAGCATTCCCTGGGAGGCAAGCACATCTCCAGTCCCTGGAAACTTTGTCTTCTGGAATACTGCTCGTTGCCTGGGGGCTTTCGCGAAAGGTGGCAAAGCCCCTTTCACTGCTCTGCCCACAGCTCCAGGTCCCTTTGTGTATGAGGTTGATTTATTCTGTCCCACACTGCAGCCTTTCCCTGGGGAACGGGGTGGAACCCAGGAAGAGAGGGATGACATGGACACGGGACCCCCAAACTCAGCATTTTCATCCCCCCCCAGTCTTAATGGCACAGGTCAGGATTGGGTCCAGGGTCCTGTTCTCTGAGTACAGACTCTAGACTCAGCCCTCTCTGCCTTCCTCAGTGTGGGAGACCCACTGGGATCCCCAGGACCCGGGGCCTTTAAATCATTTGCCCAATCACCTGCCCCAGCTACCCAGCCCCCTG